ATCCAGTGGATGTCCAATGGATTTATTTTGGATTAAAATTGCTACTTGGGGTGGAATTAAAGAAAACAAAAAAAGAAGGGGCGAAGGTATCCTTCCTCACACTCGCTGTTTCTCTCCAGGAAAAATTAATTAATTAAAAAGGAACAAAAATCAGACTGCTTGCATTTTGGCATTCGATGCAGTATTTATACAATTATTAAAATAGCTATCCAAGGGAAACTTTTTTCTCTTCAAATGGAAGGGCTATTATTTGCTATTTCCCTATAAACTTTGAATCTTGTTTTTTTTTTTTCTTTCCTACTTTTGTGGTGTTCACATATGCTGAAGCGACAGTGTGCCTGTGTGAATTGACTGTTGAATAAAATATGCACCCAAAAAAGAAGAACCGTTGAGTATCAATACAACGAATTTCCCTTGGTATGCATCAGACTTGAGTCTCTATGGTGAAAAAAAAAGGCCAACAACTTTATGTGTGTCTAATGATTTAAGTCATAACTCATCAGATTTGCTGAGGAAGAGATGTAGATGTCTTCATTTCTTCTAAGTCAACAAGGATGCCAAATCCATTAATTCAAATCAATGTTTTGAGCAACATTTTATGACAAGCCTAACATTTAAAATGGGCAATTCCTCCAATATGAGAGGGGAAATTATGAACGTATTTATGAAAACTCTTTGAATATCAATGATACATCTATTACTTATTGGGAAAAAGTTCATACCTGAGAAAAGCCCATCTGCAAGAGATAACCTGCCGAAAGAATGAATAATGTCACCTCTGTGATACGTAAACGGTGATATAAAATTAACGTCAAATTTACGTAAAATTGACATGCCCGTTTACATTTCCAACAGTATGTTTACGTTCATTTTACGTAAGATTTATGTAAATTTCCCCCTAGTATTCATGTGTCTTTAACGAGCCATCAGTACCTTTGGAAGGAATTGCTAAGTTGTATTTTCCTTACCTCAGAACTCAAGGGTGGTTGGACGAGTACACTCATCCTTATCAGCACTGAAGAGTACCAAAACAACCTACCGCTTCCTCCTCCCGTACTTGAACCTCGGAAGAAAGAATAGATGTTCAGAGATGCTCTTTTCCATGTGGATAGAGAAAATTCAGTAATGGTGTAGCCAGGAGTCTACTCTTTCATATTCCCGTGTACTGCTGTAATAACAAGCTTAACTTCCACATTTAATGACTCCCTGAGTAATATATTATAAATATATACAATAATTTCATGTTTTCCATATATATATATTCATAGATTGCATAATAAAATGTGGAAGGATGGTAAGAAAGTCGGATACTCTGTCAGGAAAGCCAGTACTTAGTATTTGTAGGATGCAGGGAACAAGGATTCCATCTAGTGAGGAATCTTGGTACTGCAACTGCAGGATGGTCAGCTAAAGTTTCGTATGGATGGTGTGACGTTAATTTTGCACAAACTTGATATCATGTACTTCACGTCAAATGGAATGACGTCTAGTTTATGCAATATACACGTACACTTTGGTGACGTAAATATAGGAACGTAAATTTTACGCTGTATAGTCAATCTTGAAAATAATCACAAGTACAGTCAATGCACTTCTCCACCATTACGGTAGCTTGTAGATACAAGTACTCCTAAGAGTGATATAAGATCTCTTACCTTGTAGTAGTTTCACCTCATCATCACAAGTGTAATGAATTCTTCACAGATGGTCCCTCATAGGTCTGAACTGGCAGAAGCCAGGTGCTACATCCAAGTTTTTGGGAAGATGTGCAATTAGCTTGCCTAATTGCTCCAAGAATTGGATCGTGGCAAAAGAACCTGGCATTATCATGAAAAAACATCACTTGGTTCATTGGAAGATGAAGTCTCTAGTTGCCAGGTACAGTTTAATGTCATGAATGAGTCCCAATATTACACAGAACTTCCATTGCATTTTTCAGCAGAAAAAAAAAACCAAAAGGATCAGCTTGTTCCAAAAGACCATCATCACTTTTTAAGTGTAATCTCTGATTTGAACATCTTAGGTATGATTGAGGAAGAATGGCTCCATTGTTTTGATGCTTTCATACTTCTGACATGTAGTGGGGAAGGCCAGTCAGTAGCCTGATGAGGATGGAGTAAAAAAATATAATAAAATAAAATTTAAAAAAGGCCATAACTGCAGGGGCATAGGACCCATCCAGCTGCTTTTCACAGGGCTGGTATATTTTAGTTACCAATAAGGGCTTGTACAATACTGGTGAGATTGACCATAATCTGTAGTCCAACACTTTTAAGTTTCAGGACAATCTGCCAGTAACTTTCATTTCATGAATTTGGTACAATCCTCATACATTCTAAGAGGAAAAGGAAAGGATCCTACCAAAAGCAGAGGGATTCGTGTTATCACAACTTGGAAACAAAAATCAAATCAGTTCATTCTTATTTCTCAGGTACTATCCAATGACAGCCTGAAGAAAGCAAACAATGGTCATCGGGTCTGCAGTCCTACATTCACCTGTTGATTTGGCTGCTACCCCAAACCCCTTGAAAGCAAGAAAGAAAAACCTGATATTTTTTAAGCACTATTCCTTTCTTTTACTCTCCCCAAGAGAACCTAAAAAAAAGAGCAAAATTGCAGCAAAGGGAGATTGTATTTGGAGAGAACAATGACACCTTGGTACTTGGCTGCTTCTTAATTGTGAGCCAGCCCCAACTTCAAGCTATGTTCACTATGAAGGAACTGCTGCTCATCAGCAGCTGCTGAGTCAGAATTCCAACCATACCTAAGGAATCTCCTACAGTAAAAAGCACCAGTTATGACTTGCAAATAATCACAGTCACATCATAGGAATGCAGGGTAATACAGAAGCATGATGATATACAAGACTACAAATGGGAAGCATGGAGTTTCATCACGCTCTAAAAGTAGTCACTTAAGGACTGAAACTCTGCATAATCCTTCATGTATTTTGAACGCTGAAGACGTTGGAATTTGTTTGGAACCTGCCGAACCATTAGCTTTCGGATCCATGAAAACCGCAACAACACAGAAAACACAAACCAGATTTTCATATAGCAAAACCATTCATGCCAAGTCATGGACTTCCTGGTCTTCTCCATCTTTATGTCATATATAGTAGATGCATACACAATCAATGGTTTCAAGCGCAACCCCTGGTTAAGTTTTCGATGGCCTTCTACCACCGTGAATGCCATGAAGGTAGCCGCAAGACTACAGTCCANCGTTTACATTTCCAACAGTATGTTTACGTTCATTTTACGTAAGATTTATGTAAATTTCCCCCTAGTATTCATGTGTCTTTAACGAGCCATCAGTACCTTTGGAAGGAATTGCTAAGTTGTATTTTCCATACCTCAGAACTCAAGGGTGGTTGGTCGAGTACACTCATCCTCATCAGCACTCGAGTACCAAAACAACCTACCGCTTCCTCCTCCCGTATTGGAACCTCGGAAGAAGAAATAGATGTTCAGAGATGCCCTCTTCCATGTGAATAGAGAAAATTCAGTAAGGGTGCAGCTAGGAGTCTACTCTTCCCTATTCCCGTGTACTGCTGTAATACAGAGCTTAACTTCAACATTTAATGCCTCCCTGAGTAATATGTTATAAATATATATAATAATTTAATGTTTTCCATATATATATTCATAGATTGCATAATAAAATGTGGAAGCATGGTAAGAAAATTGGATACTCTGTCAGGAAAGCCAGTACTTAACAGTATTTGTAGGATGCAGGGAACAAGGATTCCATCTAGTGAGGAATCTTGGTACTGCAACTACAGGATGGTCAGCTAGTTTCATATGGATGGTGTGGCGTTAATTTTGCACAAACTTGATATCATGTACTTCACGTCAAATGGAGTGACGTCTAGTTTATGCAACATACACGTACACTTTGGTGACGTAAATATGGGAACGTAAATTTTATGCTGTATAGTCAATCTTGAAAATAATCACAAGTACAGTCAATCTTGAAAATAATCACAAGTACAGTCAATGCACTCCTCCACCATTATGGTAGCTTGTAGATACAAGTACTCCTAACAGTCATATAAGATCTCTTACCTTGTAGTAGTGCCCTTTTCACCTCATCATCACAAGTGTAATGAATTCTTCACAGATGGTCCCTCATAGGTCTGAACTGGCAGAAGCCAGGTGCTATATCCAAGTTTTAGGGAAGATGTGGAATTAGCTTGCCTAATTGCTGCAAGAATTGGATCGTGGCAAAAGAACCTGGCATTATCATGAAAAAAAAACATCACTTGGTTCATTGGAAGATGAAGTCTCTAGTTGCCAGGTGCAGTTTAATGTCATGAATGAGTCCCAATATTACACAGAACTTCCATTGCATTTTTCAGTAGAAAAAAAAAACCAAAAGGATCAGCTTGTTCCAAAAGACCATCATCACCTGATGAGGATGGAGTAAAAAAATTAAATTAAATTAATTTAAAAAAGGCCATAACTGCAGGGGCATAGGACCCATCCAGCTGCTTTTTACAGGGCTGGTATATTTTAGTTACCAATGAGGGCAATAAGGGCTTTTACAATACTGGTGAGATTGACCATAATCTGTAGTCCAACACTTTTAAGTTTCAGGACAATCTGCCAGTAACTTCCATTTCATGAATATGGAAACTGAACCATGTTAGGAGTATGTAAGATTCTCCTTTTCCTTTCCTAGGATGGTTTTCGTCTCCCTAAGCACAATAGTGTTGAACCTTTGTTTTTAGTTTAGTCAAGTAAGAATAAAGAGTCCATGATAGGTATGACAGCCTGATGAAAGCAAACAATGGTCATCGGGTCTGCAGTCCTATATAGACCTGTTGATTTGGCTGCAACTCCAAACCCCTTGATAGCAAGAAAGAAAAACCTGAGATTTTTTAAGCACTATTCCTTTCTTTTACTCTCACCCAAGAGAACCTAAAAAAAAGAGCAAAATTGCAGCAAAGGGAGATTGTATTTGGAGAGAACAATGACACCTTGGTACTTGGCTGCTTCTTAATTGTGAGCCAGCCCCAACTTCAAGCTGTGTTCACTATGAAGGAACTGCTGCTCATCAGCAGCTGCTGAGTCAGAATTCCAACCATACCTAAGGAATCTCCTACAGTAAAAAGCACCAGTTATGACTTGCAAATAATCACAGTCACATCATAGGAATGCAGGGTAATACAGAAGCATGATGATATACAAGACTACAAATGGGAAGCATGGAGTTTCATCACGCTCTAAAAGTAGTCACTTAAGGACTGAAACTCTGCATAATCCTTCATGTATTTTGAACGCTGAAGACGTTGGAATTTGTTTGGAACCTGCCGAACCATTAGCTTTCGGATCCATGAAAACCGCAACAACACAGAAAACACAAACCAGATTTTCATATAGCAAAACCATTCATGCCAAGTCATGGACTTCCTGGTCTTCTCCATCTTTATGTCATATATAGTAGATGCATACACAATCAATGGTTTCAAGCGCAACCCCTGGTTAAGTTTTCGATGGCCTTCTACCACCGTGAATGCCATGAAGGTAGCCGCAAGACTACAGTCCACATGTACCTGCCATGAGAAATACCCACAACAGACTTGGAGCAATTCTCGTGTTTCAGCCACAGTATCCTGACAGAGGTTGTATTTGTCATCTATTCCAAGTAGATACCCCATTGTTCGCCAGAACATAATAAAGCCTTCCCAGTCTCTCTCAGTTGCACCATGAATTCCGACACGATGGGGGTAAAGGAGAGGTGCTCCGAAGAATCCCATCTGTGTAAGAGCAAGGTCAAACTGTGAGAGAGTGGGAAGCTCCATTGCCTCCTCTTCTTCCTTCAGCTGGGAATGTAGGCAGGCAAAGAATTCAGAATCGGGCACTTGAAGTTTTGAAGTATCTTCTTGAAAGCAATGCAGTGCCTCCTCCACTGCACCAAGGTAATCCGTGTCCATGTTTGCCATGGCCTCCTGGATCTTCTGGCGACCCTGGGTGGTCTCACCCATCCGAGCAATATGGCGATGCATGGTGGTGACCTCTTGAAGGCTTTTCCTCGACTTGGAATCTGGATCCCACGGGTCTCTTGTGTACCAGAGGAAAACATGCATGCCTGTGGCTGTGTACCTCCTCAGGGCATCCAGGGGACGCTCGGATCTTCGGGTGAACATCAGGGGACGGAGCAGCCGTGGGAAGAACAATCCCAGGACTAGAGACATGAATTTGGAGAAGAGGATTCCAACTGAGAATCGACGGTAGAAGTCCTGTCCCTGAAGGAATTGGTCATGGTCATACCAGTCTGGCTTTTCTGAGGGTATTGTGTCATAGCGGAGCATCTCAAACTTCCTGCCTTCAAAGATCTGCAGAAATTTTTCCTTGGCTCTACAGTTTGATGCATTGGATTCAAGGCTCATTTTATTTCACTGAAGAGTGGAGGATACTGAACCCTAGAACAAAATGAACATAAATACTACCTGTTGATATAACTACTAAGACAGGAAATAGTTACAGCAAATGAAAAACATGTGGACATCATATCTTCAAGACCATAGGCAAATCCAATGCAAGGAAGTTGCAGAAGCAAGAATCATAAAGATTCTGAGCAGCTGCTCATTGCTCCATAAAGTTCAGTAAATATGAGGATTATTTCAAAAGTTTCCAGTTTCATGAAAAGTTACCAGCAGATTGCCTAGAAACTTGAAAGCATTGCACTACAGAACATTTACAGAGTATGTAAGACCAATGAACTTTGACCTAAATACCTCAGTTTCAGGACAATCTGTCAGTAACTTTTAATTTCATTTCATGAATTTGGAAACTGTTGGTACAATCTTCATACATTCTAAAAGGGAAAGGAAAGGATCCTACCAAAAGCAGAGGGATTCGTGTTATCACAACTTGTTGAAAACAAAAATCATATCAATTCATTCTCATTTCTCAGGTACTCTCCGATGTCAGCCTGATGAAAGCAAACAATGGTCATTGGGTCTGCAGTCCTACATTCACCTGTTGATTTGGCTGCTACCCCAAACCCCTTGAAAGCAAGAAAGGAAAACCTGAGATTTTTTAAACACTATTCCTTTCCTTTTCTCTCATTCAAGAGAGCCAAAAAATGACCAGGAACACACCAGAGGGAGGTCGGACATGGAGAGAATGATGACACCTTGGTACTTGGGTGTGGCTTCTGAGATGCGAGCTAGGCCCGATTTCAAGATGTGTTGACCATAAAGGAACTGTTGTTCAGCTGATGGACGCACCCAAACTTTGTACTGTTGAAAAACTATGACACATGTAACATGGGGCATTCTCCAATCAACTACATTCTAGAGCTTTCATGCCACCTAGAAACTGCAGTCAGAGTTAGCTATACTATTCCAGATTCTAGATAGCATGATCCCCAGAAGAGAAACATCAAGAAACAAGCTGAAAGCATTAAAGTAAAAATGTCCATTTCCATTGAGAAAGTGAGGTTCAAGTAAAGCTTCTTCCTTCAGTTCTGGAGGTTGTTTAGGTAGAATATGATGTAATTTTTGTACAGCATCAGTCACAGTGTTTCATTTTGAAGGTACAGAACATATTTTTTTAGATAAAATAAAATGCAAGTTGAACCCAAATAAATCAATTTAACCTGAGTATTGATAAATAAACAGAGTAATGAGACAAATTATTAACCCTTTTAGTGCCATGCAGTTGATTTTTTGGCAAAAAATGCCAAGGCCTATATTTAAGCCACAGCTTTTCATTAGGCTTCTACCTTCACATAGTTGGGGTTTTTGTTGTTAGCTGGCATAAAAATAGGCCTGTGGCATTTTTGGAAGCAGTAGATGTGGTTAAAAAAAATCACTAAAACTTAAAACTTAAAGGCAGTCTTGCCACTTAGAAGTGGCAAGACTGCCTTAGGCATAAGATGTATCTTCAGGCATCTGTGATGGGGGTAAGTTAGGGTTTTAGAGATTGAGGATATGAATAGAGGCTTATTTGGGTTGAGTAACCACCATCACAAAGAGTTTGAAATAAAGTGGTTTTAGAGTGCAGTGACTAGTCATCAGAGACCCAACTCAAGCCAGTGCTTAACTTTGGAGTTCAGGAACTCAAATGGCAATGCCACAAATTTCAACAATCATTATGTAATTTAATTTGTAACAATTACAAATAACAAAGAAACAACAACTTAAGCCTAATGACAATGAGGTATCACAGGCAGAAGAATGTAAGTGGCAGTGAGGATGAGGAGAACATAGACCCTTTTCTGTTCAGGAGGGTTTAAGTCCCGCTCTTAGTCTGAGTCAAAATTTCAAACAAGGACCTTGTGGACTTTATCCCCTGAAGGAGGGAAACAGTCTTACTTTGTCCCACTGAGGACACCCACATCCAGGACACACAGCACAGCTGATTTCAGTGCTAGATCAGACTCTGGTACTATCAGAGTTTCAAAACACCATTGTCCTAGACTGAGGACAAACAGGAGGGCAGGCACACACCCTTCTACTCAGATAAAGCATGGGTAGGTCACATGGTGGTATAGCCACACCCCCACAAGCATGTGCAATGGCTACCTGAATGGCCTGGGGCAGAGCAGAAAAGAAAAGAGAAAAAAAAAGTACACTCATCACACATACATTCCCTCCTGCTCAAACATGCAGCCTCCCAGCAAGCTGAAAGTGAATACACTGTGGGTTTTTTTCCAACTGGCATCCCATTCCAAGGAGAATGGTAGGGTGGAAAATACAACCTTCACTTCTCACTTATTGCCTACAATAAAATTCCAGTCCTTCTCATAACTAGTGATATGCTAGTTCTAAATTTCTCTTATAGCTTTACAAGGGTGAAATACCACAAAGATCTTTCTTTTCCATCTATTGTGATTCCAAGAATACCACATCTGTGAGCTATATCATTGTCATGAATAATCACACAATATCAGTTAATAACTGATGCCAATAACAGCAAAGTTCATCACAGAAGTCAAGTTTGGATTCTAGTATGAACCAGTAGTACTCCTGCAAAATTAAATATCACAGACCTGAGCATATGGGGCAAGGTAGTCAAGAGCTGTGACATGAAGCCTGAACTTCTTGCCCTTGGTGAATTTGCCAAAGCAAGTGCCAGCGCTGAGGAGGTCATCTCGACCAATGGATGCAGCCTGCTTCATCAGGACCTCAGACATGTAGTACACACGGTCCCTCATGAGACGGAAACAGTACTGTCCATCTGCTCGTTCCAGCAGAAGTTTCACATTCTCTCCCACACTGCTCATGTGAATAGAAAGAGACTTGCCTCATTACCAAAAACTTTTTTTTGTGAATTCAAGGCAAGTATCAGCAAAGGACTCACTACTTAGAGAGCTTTTCAAAAAATAGCCGTGTCTCCTCTTCTGTCAGGGGCCTCATGACTTGTTTGCTTTGAAACTCACAAGATCAATCATAAATGTTCTTGCATGACAAATCCAGTACTCCTGCCAAAAAAATAGGCAAATGCAAACTTATATCAAAAGCAAAAAGAGAACCACTGGCTCATGCCAGTGAGAATTTTCATGCTGGGTTGCTTCATATACTCTTCTGTGGAAGTGCTCCAAGGTTTCAAGCAAGCAATCAGCTGTAACTGATGCAATCAAAGCCTTCTCAATAGTGATATATTCAAGAAAATCTCATACTTCACATTAAACATTTTATTGAACCAATGAATCAATAAGAATTCACAATTTCTCACTATGAGAAAAAGATCTGTTCAACCATCCCAGGGATTCAGTTTCACCTTTTCACCTATACTGAGGACAATGCTGCTTGATGATCTTCCTGGCAATGTCAGTATGTCCTGAAAATTAATTTTTTTTTAAAGAATACATAGAGTGGAATGTAGAGAGCTCCAAACAGAAACTCACCAAGCTGAACCTGTATATAGAGGGCCAGTAGGATGACCTGGATGGGGATGTCTGTATTGGGGTCCTTTGAAACCCACAGCTGCATGAAGCAATCAACAAAATCAATGAGTTCCCAAATCATTAGCAATGAAAATTTGAAACCACATAGGAAGTCAGAGTTGCAGCACTCACAGTCTTCAGGGACTCTCCTGCCTTCTCCAGTTCCCCACGGAGGGAATGAGCCACAGTTAGATTGTACTGCATCACCATTTTGGCAGTAGAGAGGGAATTAGGGAACCACTCTAAAAAATGCACAAAGGAGGAGGCATCATACCAAATTTGTCAAATGACACAACAACCAGAAACTTAAGAAAAAGTTCATAGATGCTCACTGGGTGCAAATCGGGGCTGCATTGGGTTTGCCTCCCTGCTTCCCTCACGTTCCCGTTCCCTTTCTTTCTCTCTCTCCTTCTCCCTGTGATCATTTGATGCATGCTCTTCAGTAGGAGGATATACAATGCTTGCATCTTTAATGTTGTCAGGATTCAGATGGTCAATGGCCTCTGAGATCTTATCCAGGCCAACCAAAGCCTCAGCTGCATACAGATGACCCAGCAGCCTGACAAGAAACGTAAAAATGAACAAAATTTGAAACAGAACAAAATGGGCATCAGGTTTTCCAACAATAGGGCAACTAACCTGTATACTCCTGGAAGCTTGGGCTGTTCAAGGAGAGTGAGAGCATGATGAAGTGCCTGCAGAGGATCACCCAGCCGCAAGGAAACATATGCACTGCTTGCCAAGACAGAACACTTGAGCCAGCCAAGCTCCTGTGTTTTCAGAGGATTTGATGGGCACACCTGAAAAATCAATGACAATTTATTTGACAATCTTAATCACTGACAGTTTATTGTGACAATCACTTCTATTACAACTGAAAAGAAATTTCATTTCAGAAAATCAACCTGAGCAGAAGCCATTTTGGTAGGTGAAGATGTTGGTGAGCTGATCTTTGGCAGAGGCTTCTCTTCTTCCTCTTCTCCAGTCGAATCCTTTTTTTTCTTCTTGCCAATTATGGGCTCTGCCAGGAGGAATAGTGAATTCTTCAGGCAGAATGAAGCAAACTCCAGGGAGACAACAGGCATAGCACCCCCACCCTCCTCCATGCTATGTAAAAGCACCAAAGGATACCAAATTGCCTAACTTTTGTCATTTTCACTGAAATCATAGTAAAATTCCATGCACTTGCACTATGAGGAATTAAACAAGCCCTGAGGCATACTTTTGAGGTTGACCAGTGGAGATTCTTGGGGGTAGGATGATCTTGCGATGAACCCCAACCCCAACTGTGCCTTGAACCAGATCTTTCTTTCTTTCTTGCAAGTGGAAATCCACTTCATTGTCCTAATGAAAAAAACCATTGCCATGAAGATAGTAAAATCTCAAGGAGCACTGAGACCTACAGGCACCCACCACTAGCTCAGTTTGACTTACTGCTTTGTATGCAGCAATGCAGCATTCAGCAAGGCGAAGCCATAAAAGGGGATTGAAATGGAACACTTGAATGGCATCAACCAGGCAATCAAAAGCAGCTCGGGGCTTCCCAGCATGGAGGAGGCAGATCCCCATGTTATAGAGCAATTCAGGATGACGGGTTGCAAACTGTGTCCACAATGGCACTCCCCCTGAATCTCCTGCAAATAAAATGAATAGCCTCTTTGATATAAACCCTGAGTAGGATTCAAGTAAATTTGAAGGTGATTTTGATCCTTTCTCTTTAATTCCAAATATATCCCAGATTCAACTTCAATCCCACTATCTGCAGATTGAAGAATGAGCAATCCAATAACAATGAGGATCTGTTCTGGGGAAAGGATGTTGGGAGCCTTTTGTGACATTTTGGGTGAAAAATGACAGTCCACAACTCTGCCCTCCATACTTAATGAAGGGATTGCATGAAGTGATTTCCACAAAGTGTTCATACTTCCATTGGCAAGCATTCAACAAGTCAAGAGTCACTTCTTTCCCATGATATATCTTCTCACCTCATCAGATGGAGAAAGGTGACAAATTCATTTGCAATTCAGTCATCAAATGCTGTTCCTACCCTGACCCAATTCCTTTCCTATCAGAAAGTAAAGAAATGACAACAGAAGTGAGCACTGGGAAGTGAGGAACACATTACCCAAGAGATGCAAAGAACATGAAATACTTGACCCCAGGTGAAAGTCTTAAATGGGCTTTGGCCACACAGAAGAGCATTGTGGAATAGGTTTGGAGCTTCCCTTCATAATGCTCCTAATGCTTCTACTTACTTTTATTCAAACAATGTTGTCATGCCCTCTCCATACTGTCAAATTGCACAGGGGTATCATTTATCATGCATTTGCTGGTCTTTCTTGGGTTTTAGCTCAATAAGATAGCAGTGAGTCTTTGCTAATTTATCCCCCAGCAGGGTTACTTCATAAGAGAGATTTCACAAAGTTAGCTACTTCTTCCATCACCAGGATGTTAAACAATGAGGAATATTCAAACTAGAATTTCATGGGTATGACTCCGAATTGCCTTCTTTTTGTTCACTGAACTTCCAAGGATCACCATAAAAGAGAGAGAGAGATGACACCAACTGGAACTATTTTTTTCTTTTGACACATCAAAAAGGTTCAAGTTTAAAATAAAAGATAAAAGCACAATGAACTGACCTGAGTCTGACTTAAGTCCTCTGAGTGCAGCCTCATTTTCCTGGCTTGCCTTGTGCAGATAAAATGTGGCTAGGTTGGGCTTCCCCATGCGGAAATGAATGCAGGCCATGTTATTGTAATACATAACAGGCAGGGACTCTCCCCTCTCCTGTAATGACACCATTGGCAGCAATGGGGCAGCTGAGTTGAGGAAATGAACTGCCTTGCGATGGTTCCCCTTCAGATATTCCAAATTCCCCTTCATGAAGATGGCTGACATGTTCTGCAATGAAGAATGATGCATGAAATGCAGCAGTTACTCCCTCAAACAATAGCCATAATTGCAATATTACAAGTAAATAAATAAAATTCTCAATGAATACAGGCACCTGGAAGGAGAAAGAAAAAGTCCAACCCACATTGCCTCCATTGGCAGTCAAATTCTTGACTTCCTTCTTCAGGACTTTGATGTTCCTCATCTGAAGATAGCATTTCACCCTGTATTCAACAACCTTCCCCTTGAAAACTTCTCCTTCATGGCCTGATGGTTCCTTCCCAGACTTCAGGGAATTCTCCATGAAGCTCACAATCCCAAGGGCCATATCTGGCTGCTGGATGCAAAGGTAGCACTCGCACAAGAGACAGCTGATCCGAGCCACCAACCTGTCGTCTTGAGAGGGCAAGATGAAATGAAGATCAATCCAAAGTCGAATAAATGGAAAACAAGAGAGAAAAAAAGAAACTCACCCAATGGTTCCACAAAGGAAAAAAGTTTGTTGAGGATGGTGATGGCAGCTCGATACTGCCGATGATGATACAAAATCACAGCATGATTAAGATAGAGAACGCCTTGATTCACGTCATCCAGACGTTCCATTTCATCAAGCTTGATACCAGCCTGGAAATACAGCAAAAAATACAATGAGAATGCATTTTAAGAGAAGCTATATACCATATACAACTTAGGCTGTCTGACCTGTTTGCAAACACTGGTGATAGCCCTCTGATACTGAGGAGTGGCCTTACAACCTGACAGATAGAACTCTGTTACAGCCTTGTTGTGCTGAAGCTTTGGATCATGGGGACGAAGGGATTCGAGTTTCTTCAGAGAGGATAAGCAGGCATTGTAAGTGCAGAACTCAAATTCTGCAGCAGCTTTTCGAGCAATCACTTGCTCTTGATCTGAGATCACCGTCAATGAGAGGGAGTCCACGCCTCTCTCTTCCTTCTCTGCCATGTTTCAACTCTGTCCTGGATGACAGAAACGGCTGCAAAAACTTTGTCCTTACAGTACCTACACATCTTAATTAAATCTAAGTTTGACAACTTCTCAAACGATTCAGACAGCAAGGCCTAGCCTACAGCAACTTTGGGCAGTGATTGATTAAGACTCTTAACTGCTTTGGGTAAATCCTCTTCCACGGCAAAAAAAAGTTTTCAAAGAAACTGCTATCCCACCTCAAAGCACCAAGAAGTCACCCATCGCCAAGCAATTAATCTTTGCACCCCTATGCGAGTGCACACTGTGCATGGTGCTCTGGTGGTGTGCGCAAGACGTACAATGCCCAAAAAGTGGATATGTGCAGCCTTGAGGCTTAAAATTGCCTCTTAAGCGTGCTTCGAAACAAAGTGGAATCTCCCTCATCGAGAGGTGAGGTACCAACATTGAAATTACTCGAAACCACGTAAAACACACTTATACCATAAACGCCTCGATTAACACTTGCTGGTGTCACGCGGAAGCTTTAAGCATGGGGATGATATCCAAGATGGCTGCCGCCAGGGTGTCCACTGCACTTCTACCGGCCGCTCATGAGCAAAAATGAGTACCCTCTCAGGACTCCGACCGCTGGCAAAACTATGAGACCTGTAGCCGATCAGGGCCAACCAAATAATATCTAGTGTTTGGGAATTCCTCGCGACGACGCATATCGCATGTACTAGAGCACCGTCAAGTGAAGCCTCTTGGGTACTATTTAAAGCCATTTTCAAAGTTCAAGGTTCAAGGGTCGATGGGGTAATCAGGAGACGAATCCGCCCATTATTACGTCCCGTGTCGAGGTCAAGTTTGCTGATGACTGTAAGATAAGTCTATCTCTATTAACGATAGATTGTTTTTATTTTTTAAGGGGGGGGGGGGGGGTAGCAAAGCCACCTTCTGCCTAGTCACTTAAAGCTACTTTACTATTTTGTTTTGCCCATGAAGATATGAAGCTCCTTCTTAACGCTAGTCACGGGACGGGGGCAGTCACTACATCGTCATTTAACGCATTCCACACGTTTCACAACCCGACAGGTTAAAAAGTTCTGTCGCAGCCTGCGGTTTCTAGCAACTTAAGTTGTTCTCTCTCGTTCTAACATAATACTGGAAAAACCAACCACGCTCAACGTTATCGATTCCCTAAATGATATTAAATGCCTGGATGATGTCCCCGCCTCGCTGACCTCATCTCGAGCGAGTGAACTTCGTCTTCCGGATGTTGAACGGCGTGGTCGAGTGGTGAGGAGTCCGACGGATGATCGGATCCCCTCTGGGAAAGTGGGTTCGAGTCCTGGCGCCGATCCTTTCTTTCCGTCGTCGATTCTAAGTTTTCTACTTGGCATGTCGTGGAAGCAAGAGACATTCGGAACTTCCGATGTGTTGGGCCGATTCGAGATTTTTTAAGTTCGATATTTCATTTCGAAAAAGGTGGAAATATTGCAAATTAGCAGTGGCAACTGCGTGCCAAGCATCCCTGCGAAATCACAATTTCGTTGAGTCTCCGTCAACATGAGATAATTAAGAAATGCGCAACGTGTTTGTCAACAAATTCGTACATGAACTTCAGGAGGGAATAACGTCCCAGGGATTTTCTACCCGCTCTGAACAGTGAGAAATCCCCAATTTCGTCTAATACAGCTTTCCGAAGAAAACCTGAAAAGGTAGAGCGAAGAGGAAGCGCGTTCGCCCGTGCAGATCCCGAGCCCCACATTCACCTCGTTCAAGATGAGGCTTCCAGATCGGGTGGGGCTCGGTACTTCAGCTGTTTTTTCTTTTAAGTCCGGAGCGAAGTGGCGTAGCCATTGACGAAAACCTGGCTACGCCACTGCGAGGAGCGTCTGAGAGTTTTCAGCCAACACACTTAATGACAGCTGTTTAAATGCGTGGCCTGAAGCTGCGATTTTGCTCACATGTGACTACTTGCATTTGCCATGAGCAGGGTGTGATTAAACCTCGTAAACTTTCAAGAGCACAAGCGCGTCCAGGTTCCTCTCCAGTGCGCTGCATTTATAATCTGATGAATGGCGAAATAATGACGGCTGATGCCACTTATCAGTTGATAAAGCCACTGAAGCAGAAATTCAAGAATGTCGTTTGCCAATCGGTTGATCTCGAGATTCCCCGTCCCTCACCTCGACGTTTAATTTCCGAAATCGACACATTTCGTAGGAAAGCCGACTGAAAAGCTTAACGCTGAATAAGCACCTAACCCCGCCCACCTTATCGTCAGCGACCAATAAAAATCCAGGATTTTATTTTCAATGTGGCAGCCACCAGGGTCACAGCTGCACGTGACCGGTTGTGTTAAATAGCTATACTCGAATTGTGAGTTATACTCGAAAATTCTCTTATCCTGGACTTCAACATGGTCTCGACGTACTCAAGAGAATGCCCAGCGAGCAACTCAATGCCGAAATTTTATTATGCGTTCGTGTAATGAGGAATGAAGGTCCAGATTTGGATGTTCAGTTTCCTCAAATTTTCTGGTTTTTTAAAATTATTATTTCAAAATAGAGGGAGACCTACTGTCATAGTCACCTCGTAGGTCTAGGCCTAAAATTATGCCTTTTAAAGCCTTTTGATATTTTAAGAATGACAGGGCGTTTCTACAATCACCCTCTATGCTTAAAAGCAAAACATATGCCAAACTTTTTATTTTATGCTGTCACTCCAGATAAAGTGGATATGAAGAAACAAGACTTGGCAGCCTCAGAAAATTAAGAAACTTATAAGTGTTGAAAATAAGATATAAAGAAAGAATTGGGTCAGTATAAATTGACACAAGTTGACATAATATTCATTATTACAATAAATGGTCTATTTATTGCTGAATGAAAGTATTAAAGTCAAATGTTATTGCATACAGTTAAAGCTTACAAATACAGAAAATGTATCATGGCAATGTAATAAAACAAAAACAAAGTAAAATACAGTGAGAAAAAGTAAATTTTGTGAAGCATTAAGCAAGAATTAAGAAGCATTGAATTAAGAACCCCATTGCATTAAGAAGCAATGGGGTTTTTGCGATGAAGGAAGGTGAAGCAATAATCATGTCTAGGCAAGAAAATACCTGAAAGGCTCTTAAGAAAAACCTTGGGATGAGAGTTAACATTATTGGCATGGATTCGACTTCACTCTTCCCTCCAATCTTTCTTAAACCTTTTCATCATCTTAGATGGTAAAAGGTTTAAGAAAGGTTGGATTAAAGGACCATCAACACATAGGTTGATGGTCCATTTTGGCCATGGTCAATACCATCTGTAACTTTGTTTGCACATTTTTTATGCTGATCATATTTTGCATTCCAGATGATCAGTTTTTATGGGACAACAGGCTCTGGGCTTGAAGCCACAGCAGCACAAGAGGTTTCCACCTTGGGTGCTGACATCACGAGAATGACAAAGGGGAAGGTCTTTTTCTTGTGCTCTTCCAGCTCCTGCCCTGATCTCATCAAGTTGAAGACATTTGAGAGACTTTTCCTGGAAGTTTTATGTGCCTTCCATGAAGAGATGGAAATCTCATCCATTGATAGTAAGGTCTTAAGCATTTTATAGATGTATTTATCAATTTATTTTGTTGTTCACTAAGTTGGCATAGTGATGGAGTCCAGAGTTGTACACAAAGGTTGATTTGCATGATTAAAAGCAATGATTCTGCTTTCTCTTTAGAACTCTTGGAAGAGATGAAAGCAGTCAATTGGGAGAGCAATTTGAAGAAGTGGAAAAACTGCAGGGAATCAGCAGAATCAAGTCCCCTATCTTTTAGGGTCTCATGCAAAGTGACTGGACAGATGCGCAAGAAATTTAGTGCCTTCCATGTTTCCAAAGCAGTTTCTGCCTCCATCCAGAACTCCACAAATTATGCTGTAAATCTGAAACAGCCTTGCTTTGAAGTGAATGTTCGAATCAGTGATGAATACATCACCATTGGCATTCCCCTCACCACAGAACCCCTGTCAAAACGTCCTTATCTGAAGCACATCTCTGTTAGGTCTGGATCCTCTTATCCCTGATTCTACTGGTTTTCACTGGTATTAATACAAGTATTTTATTGTTTGCAGGTCAACTATCTGCCACACAATGTGTCTGAAGGCTGGTATATCATCAGGGATGAGAATATTAGATCCATGCTGTGGTCATGGAACCATTCTGGCTGAGGCCTCTTACAACTGGCCTGTATGTTTTCCACACAAACAGTTATAAGTTACTCCCAAATTGCAGTTTGATAGCAATACCATGTGTGAGAGTTTTTTAATTTAAGGGAATATGGGAGCAGTCCTGCATGCCAAACCATGCAATGTTAATCAATATTGCTAATGCAGACTGGTTTGTTGCTGTAAAAACTTAACAGAAAGACTATAAATGTATAATGTATATGTACAAGAGGACTTTTTTTTCATAGGCAATTGGGATAACAATTGAAATCATGAAAATAGACAACATATGCTATTCTGGGACTGAAGTGGTTAATGCAGCATAATTACTAAAAATGATAAATGATTGACAGCATGGGTTATTCTTCAGGCACAGGGGTTTATATGAATTACCTAAGATTTTATGAAGGCTTGAGGTCCAGAATTACATTTTTGAGGTTCAATTTTCATTCTAGGAAATGGAATCTGAACCTTCAAAAATGGAAGTGTAATTTTGAGATTCAACAAGGTTAAAATTGCTCAAATTATTTTGTGCACATTTATTTTTTAATATCTAATGTTATACATTGTATCTAAGAGAAAGGAAAAAAAGATATGGCAATGAAATTGTGTCAAGGTCAATGGGCATTTACTAATGAGACCAGGTGCAAAGAGAACCATTTCATCAAATTGCCATTATGGTTGCTGTCAGGGCCTCCAAATATGTCAAATTGGCATGATTTGGCATCCAGGAGTCAAAAACATTATTTTGCTGGCAACCTGTAGTTATTTGTTGTAGAGCTTTACATTGAATCAGTAGCACAACAAATTCACTAAAGAAAACAATGTTTGAAATACATTATATTATTCTTGTTTGTTTTTTAGATCTTGTTGATGACCCTATTTGCTATCTGTGGAAATGGCTCATATACCTGCCAAATGGCAAAGGATTTCAACCATTGGTTCATTAATCCAGTAAACTTACTTAAGTGTCACCCTGTACACCACCCAACATTTGAAGTAGAGTCAGCACCATACCGAGGATACTTGGTGCCCTGTGCGAAATATCAGTCCAGCGCACCCCCCCCCCCCTCTGTACCTCTCCAGCTTCCACAGCACTAACAATACATTATGTATTGATTTCTATGTTTAATTTATATAAATTCAGGATAATTTGCAATTTTTTTAAAGCTTTATTTATATTTTGTAATAATCCAGCAGCCAATTGACGCCCCTCTTAGTTCAGCGCCCTGTGTAGAGGCACCGCTTGCACACCCCTTGTTACAGCACTGAGTAGAGTACTCTCATAAATAAATTATTGTTATGTTGCTCCTATGCAATCATTTGGTTGCATGCAACCTGGATAATTTTATATAATTTGTTTGCTGCAAAATGGGTCTCTGAATGATTGAGAACCCAATATGCACCATACTTTCTCACCTTTGTCTCTACCCTCAAAAGCAAAAGTGATCCACTTGGAATGTTGAGTAGTGTATGTTGTGCATTGAGGCAACCAGTCATGAGACACTGTTGCCACTTGGAAAAAGGTAGAGGTAAAATTTTAAGCACTGGTCCCATTAAAAGCAATTTTCTTTTTCATCTAATATGTAATCTTTTATTTTCTACCATCCACCACTCAATTTCCCCATTAATTCAATACTGTAGGCTTGCATCTATTTTGGACTGGATCAAGATCTTGAAGCGTTGAAGATTGCTTCTGAAAACATGCAGTCCTGCAAAGCCTCAACTGCATCACTAATCTGTGGAGACTGTGCAAGTGAGGATTCACAGTTCCCTTCATCCATTGTACTCCCTCAGATCTATTGAATATACATTTTTTTTTAGGGATGCCATTGACAAGTGAGAGTGTGGATGCAATCCTCTGTGACCCTCCATTTGGCATCAAGCACAACTGCCAGGAAACTGATAAATTCCTCGATAGATTCCTTCGAGAATGTTCGAGGTCTGCACTGCATCCTGTGATTCTCACACCTTCCACAACCCTAAATTGTGTGGTTGGTACATCAGATGGAATTTGAAATTGCTCACTTTCTTTTATTAGAGTTCTATGTGAGGGTGGAACAATGGTGGTTCTGCTGGGAGGCCCCCTCCGTTCCTCATTCGAGATGCAACTGGAGACCGGACAAGGAGAGGGTGAGGATCCGGGGGACAGACGCGAGAATCTGAGGGACTTTCCCCATCTGGTACTGAAGGAGACTCTGCCCCTCAGACTTGGACTTCTGGATGCCATCCTCTGGTGCCTCTCGAAGCACTCTGGTCGAGGACATGTCACCTGACCGGGTGAAGAGGACGTGACCGAGTCAGATGCATCTTTGGAGACTGTCAGATGTTGAAGAGAATGAAACAGAGTTGGAGATTCCTGACTTTTTGGGTTTTCCCCTGAATTTGACTGTAGCTGAGCTCATCGTGAAGATTGTGCTATGAAGAACTGGCATGCTCCATGTATTTTATCCTTCCTGAGTGCTGGTTCTCTTGGGAATAATTAAACCGGCCATTTCGCATGGCAATTGCCCATATCGATTATTCATTACTTCCATCTCCAGTCGTTCAACCGTGTCAGAGTAATCAGTGGAACTGACCCACCCATCAGTCAAACGATCGATGGAAATCAATCATGAATGGGGAAGCGAAGAAGAAGGTCCTTCACCGGAAGAACCGGATCCATGAAATATTCCCCGCTCCCCACAACTTCCTCGACGTCCCGCAACTCCCTCCCGAACGCAACGCGATTACCGACATGCGAGAAGGCAAAAGAAAGCATGCCTCATGAAATAACCAGCGAGGATCGATGCAAGGCCGACCTCGCGCCGGATGAAGCGGGATCGATATCGCAGGTGCATCCACGCACGCGTCCCCCCCCCCCCCTCCCCTCCCCCTCTCACCCCACGCCCCACGAGTTCTCCCTTGTCCACCGAGCGAGTGACATGGAGGCATTCGGGACCGGCACGGCGACATCGCTGGACGCGTGGGCGAAGCGAAGGCCAGGCTCGGACCCCGGCTCCCCCCACGACGACAGGCTCGATCGTCTCTCCGTCTTCAGAGGTGCGTTCGCTCTGCGTCTCCTGCGGATTTCAGCCGCAATTACCCTGCATGGCACCCCCTGGGCACGGCCCAAAACTAATTCCGGGAGGGAGGCGTGAAGCTTATTTTCCTTTTGTTCCCCCGGGTTTTCTCATTTGAGCCAACCGGCTACTACGATTTTTCTCCTCCCGGCCCCCTTGGGCTAGCGCTCGCTCTCGTTCATCCGTGTTTACGGCCCTAGAGTTGCAGTGAAGTGGGAACACCGTTCCCGTACTTCTTCTTTTCTCGACGAAGGAAATTTCCTACACTTAATCGCAATAACTCCAATTATATATTGATGCTCGAAAAAAAAAATGGAAACCGAAACCCTCTTTCACCTGTCCCCATATTCCTACAGAGCGGCTTCCGCAAATTTTTTTCCGCTGCCAACGGAATTGCGTCGTTGCGAGTCGGAGGGAAACGGAGGAGCAACCCGCAGATTCCATACAATTTTAAAGCAGAGATTAAATCCGTCACATCATATATATCTCCTCGGCAGGACCGTTTCATCCAAGCCACAACGAATTCCCTTGCCTGCCCCGCCCCACCCCGCCCCACCCCGCCCCACCCCGCCCAGCCTCGCCCCCTTTTAAAGTCAAATGTTTGGACGCGCATTATCTTAGGGCGACTGAAAAGAAATAAAATCCAGATGCTCAGTCTTCACGAGATCTTAGGAGTAGCTACTCTCTCCGTGCCTGTGAAATTTACGATCTGCAATCTGCAATTCCTTTGGAAACGATCCGTCGCGCTGAAGGGTTCCACGGCCCCGCCGAAATTCGAGTGCTTTGGGGATTCCGTGCGTGCATCGAAATTGAAATCGTCTATGAAATTCATCGATCCTGCGGAATGAAAATTTGATCGCTTGCGATCGAACGGCGGCGGGAAACGAGCCCGAAGGACTTCATGCATGCAATATGAAGACAGTAGGAAATCCATAGATTTTCGCTCTTTAGGGACGGCGTCAGAGGCGATGCAGTCGAGGCCGGAGAAAGAAGATTCGCAGGATTCGCTGCGGTCGAAAGACGAGAAGACGGGGGATGAAAGTCGGTCAGAGAGTCGGTCAGCGGTTCGGTCGGCGGGTTGGTCCGAAAGTCGGTCTGCGAGTCGGTCCGAGAGCGTGTCGTCCGATCCGTCGGTGTTAAAGAAGCCGGGTCGGGGGAGGCAAGAAGCGTGGGGGAAGGAGAGGTCGAACGAGAATACCTGGGAGCGGATGCTGAGGGGAGGAGAGTCCACGACGGTAGGGAGTTTCAAGGACTCTCAGGAACCGGAGAGAGAGGAGTCTGGGAGGAGCAGGGACGAGAGCGGGCACAAGGTCTGGATGAGCATGTCCCAGGATCAGGAGGAGGCGAGATTGGAGTTCATCGACGTAGAGGACGAAGTGGAGGACGAGGAGGGTGAAACGAGGGAGGAGGTGAGGAGGTTCACGGGGTTCGAGTTCCCGGAAGGTGACCCGGTCACCCCGGAGGTGGCGGTGGGACTCAGGCTTCTCACTCTCGGGGAGCTCGGCAAGGTTTTCCCTCAGGAGTGGATGCTCCAGGGGTTTTTCTTCTCCGACAACCCGTCCCTGCCCTTCGGTCTGGTTCAATTCAAGGTCAGATTTCAGCTAATCCTTTTCTGGTTTAGTTCTCCAATTCACGTTTACAAAATTTTCGTTCGATTTTTGCGATTCCCATAGTTTTAGCACGACTCCCACAAAAAAAATCGATCGTACGTGTGTAATTTATTCAAGAAGGCGTTACTTATTTTTTATGCAATTTTTTCATCAATAATTAAAATCTAGGGCGGACCCTGCGGCGTGCTGGCATCCGTCCAGGCCCACGTGATCAAGCACCTCGAGACCCTCCCGAACGGCGTCTTCGCGTGCGACTCGAAGGACCGCGAGGCGGCGCTGGCCGCGGCGATGACCGAGATCCTCTGGCGGGCCGGACGCGGCCGCTCCGCCTCCGTCGCCCTGTGAGACTCCCTTTTCCCGTTTCCCGATCCCCGTCGACGTT